ACTCACCTCCTCTGCCCTCCCTCGTCTCCTCCTGCCCTCCCTCTCTCCTCCTCCTCCCCGCCCCAGTCTCCCTCTCCTCCTTTGCTTCGTCGCCTCCCCTGCCCTCGGGGCGCCAGGGTCACATATACTCAACCGCTGCAACAACCGGGGGCGCCCTCCTTACCCCTCCTCCTTCCCTCCCCTCCCCTCCGTCTCCCCTCCCCTCTCTCTCCCCTCCTCCCCTTGCCCCTCCCTCTCCCCCTCGTCCTCCCCCTCCCTCCCTCCTCCTCTCTCCTTTCTCTCCTCCCGTCCCCTCCCTCTCCTCCTTCTCTCCTCCCTCCCCTCTCTCCCCTCCCCTCCCGCTTCCTCCTCCTCTCTCCCTCCCCTTCCCCTCTCCCCTTCTCTCCTACCTTCCCCTCCTCCTCCTGCCTCTCCCCTCCCCTCCCCTCCCCTCCCCTCTCCTGCGACCACTGATCCTTTTACTGTCTCCATGGTTTTGCCCTTTCTAGAGCGTCGGAGAGTTGCAGTCGTACAGCTTGTAGCCTTTTCAGACCAGCTCCTTTCACTAGGCGATGCGTGTTTAAGCTTCCTCAGTCCGTATCTCTCCATGGCTTGGCGGCTCATTTCTTTTTAGTGCTGAATAGTATTTCTTGGAATGGCCCACAGTTTATCCATTCAGTCACCGAAGGACATCTTGGTGGTTCGCGGTTTCTGACAGTTAGCAAGTGAAGCTGCCGTAAACACTAACGTTTAGATTTCCGTGTGGACAGAAGTTTTCAGCCCGTTCTGGGAAACGCCTAGCAGCGCCGTTGCTGGATTGTATAGCAAGAGTAAGCTTAGTTTTGTAGGGACCTGCCAGACGGTGGCACAGGGTGGCCGCACCAGTCTGCACCCCCAGCAGAGGAGTCCCTGTGGCTCCACATCCTCACCAGCGTTCGGTGGTGTCGGAGTTCTGCGGTTTGGCCGTTCTGCGGGATGCGTAGCGGCATCTGTTTTAACAACTGTTTTTACAACTGTTTTAATCTTCAGTTCCCTAAGGACATCTGACATGGGGCATCTTTGTGTGTGTTTATCTGCCGCCTGCCTGTCTTCTTTTGTGGGGTGTCTGTTCAGATCTTTTGTCCACTTTTTAATTGAGTGTTTTCTTGTTGAATTTTTAAGAGTGCCCTGAATATTTTGGACACAAGTACTTTATGTGTTTTTTGCAAATATTTTCTCCCTGTCTGTGGGCAGCAGCATTTTTACATTAAACTCACTACCCAAAGCAAGAGCCACGAGACATCTTTAAAAATAAACTTTTCACTTTAGAACGGTTTTGGATTTACAGGATAATTGCAAAATGTGGAGAGTTTCCATATACCCTGTATCCAGTTTCCCCCGCTATTAACATCTTGTTTTATTAATAATGTGGTATATTTGTCACAACTAGTGAACCAGTGTCAACACGTTATTATTAACTAAGCCCATACTTGGTTCAGATTGCCTTAGTTTCCCCCTGTTTTCCTAGTTCTTTTCTAGGATTTCATGGGGGATCCCACAGGACATGTAGCTGTCCTTGTCTCTCTAGGTTCCTCCTGGCTGTGACAGTTTCTCAGACTCTCCTTGTGTTTGATGACCGTGACAGTTTGAAGGGGGACTGATCAGACCTTTCGGAGGATGCCCCTGTATGGGGGTTTGTCTGCTGTTTTTTTCACGATCTGCCCAGGTTGTGGGTTTGGGAGGAAGAGCCTAGAAGTGGCGATTCCTTCTCATCACGTCCTATCAAGGTCCAGACTGTCACCATCACTTGTGGCTTTTGATGTTGCCCTCGATCACCTGGTCGTGACTGGCAGGTTGCTCCACTAGAAGGTGTTTTTTTTCTCTTTTCCACACTGTGTTCTTTGGAAGGAAGTTGCTGTGTTTAGCCCATGATGGTGGGGTGGGGAGCTCGGGCCACCTCCTGGAGGGCAGAGAGCTACATAGATTGGGGTGTGTCTGCATGGGGGATCTGCCCTTCCGCCCGGTACATTTATTTATTCATTTGTTATTTGGTGACACATCAGTGTGGACTCATGGGCATTTGCCTTCTGTTTGGGTTGCTATCCAGCACTGCTCCATTGGTCCCTGAGCCTCAGTCCTACGGACTCCACTCACTTCCACAGTACCTGGCTGGTCCTTAGTGCCCCAGCCCTGCCGTGAGGTTCTTTCCTACGTCTGTGTTAACACGTCTGCCGTCTTCTCTGGCATCCTGGTTTCCATCTGAGACTCCCTCAGCCTCCAGAATTATTGTTTTCTAAGAAACCTGCGGGAGGTCAGGGGAGGAAGCAGTTGTTACTGCCATGAGTCACCGTCACTGCCTGTCGTAGGAGGAATCGCTCTCCAGCCTCGGTCGCTGTGGCCCGTCTCTCTAGGTGCGTGGATGCGGCCAGGAACAGCCCACGCCGCAGCCTGCGCGGCTTTGCCCCCGCCGGGTCACGGTGGCCGTCTTGAGTGCTTCCCCTCCTCCCGCCACGTGCCCTCCTGACATCACATCCCACTGTCAGGACAGATGGCCGGGGCTGGTGCCCTCCTGCTGTGTTCCCAGGGGACCCCTTTGCCACCCCTTCCTGTTGGCACCTTTGGAAACACATCTTGGTTGCTCCCTAGAGCCGTGAGTCTCTGGCCTGGAGGGTCTGTGTGTCTTCAGGGTCATCTCAGGCTATCCCAGGTGTTTCTACTCCAGGCAGTCTTCCAGGCTGCGGCAGACGGGGGCCACCTCTGAGCTTATGCTTGTTGAGGTTCCGGTATAGTTTGAAAACTAAAGGAATTTCAAAATGCAGAAACCGAGGCATGTTTCTAAGAATCGTGGTGCCAGGTGGCTGTAGCGTTCCCACGCTCATTAGAGGCGTGACGACAGTCACTGGCTGCACAGACAGGGCAGCCCCGCGATGTCTCGGGTTTACAGCTGATAGAACAGCCTCTCTCTGGGGTGGCTCCATCAGCCCCAAATGTGGCGCCTCACGGGTTGCCCCCTTGCAAGCGTGCTGTCGCGGCCGAGGGAGCGGAGGGCTCTCCTGACGTCACCGGGGTGGGTCCTGGCTAGCCGTGAGTGTGGCAAGCCTGGAACAGCATCTGGGGAGGGCCCCTGGAATCCTTGGGAAGGCGTCCGTGAGCCCTGTGCCCTGGATGTCGGCCAAGGACCGAAGCTGCCCGTCCCGTGAGAAGACACAGCCGTTAGCTGCGGGGCATGGTTTCCTGCGCCTGCGCGTCTGTCCAGCCAGGGCGCGGCTCAGCTGCAGGGGTCCGAGATGTGGACTCGGAAGTCGCAGTTCAAGGCCCAGTTCCGACCTTTCTGCTTGCCATTGGCTCTCCCTGAGACAGCATTCTCACGTATAAAAGTCACGGTCCTCAGCTATGAAAATAGTATGGGATGATTTTTTTTTTTTCCTAAATCTACTTTGGACCAGCTAACTTTTGCACTGGGCATGTATGGACAGCCACATAGGGAGGAAAACTCCTAATTGTCCTGAAGGTTCACCTTGGCCCAAATGAGCATGGACATACTCATTACATTGCTGTAGGAGAGTGGGGTTTTCAGCTTTGATGTTGGTGGCTCTCGACGGCCCATCTTTTATGCCTTTTGAGTGTCAGTCGCTCCCCTTACCCACCACCCTCCCTAAGCCGCCTCCGCTGCAGGGAAGGGACCCTCGGATGCCTTCGGACACCGTGTCTTGGCCTGGGAAGCCACTGGGGTGAGGCAGAGAGAGGGGCTGACCGCTCATGTCCCTATTTTTCTTTAAAACTTCTGCATAAGAAGGTCCCCCTCGTGGGCACACAGCAGATCTCTATGCGGCGGCGGCATGAGCGTGTTGGTCGTCACTGGGGGAAACGGGCCGTGTGCTGGTAACGTCAGGAGAGGAGGCACGCACGCCTATCGCAGACACACGCCCGGATGCGGGCACACGCGGCACGCCGGCAGTCACCGGGAGCGGGTCAGGCCTGCGCGCCTCACCGAGAAAAGTCAACACGCAGAGTGGATCCTACGGCGGGTTTACGAAGCGCTCAGAACAGCGCCCAGGCGTGGATGGACAAACGTCAGAATGGAAAACAGATGGCATGTTCAGTCTGAGTCACCACGGAGGTGGCCTGTCCAGGGACGGAGGTGGCGGACAGTGAGTGTCGGAGGGCGCTCACCTCAGGGCAGTCGTCCCGGGGCTTTACCCTTAGGGCGTGCTTGCAGACGGAGTGGCCGGTGACCACGGGGGTTTCTGGTCACGGGGGCTTGCGTGCCGTCACGGGACCCTTGGTGCTTTCCTGTGACGCGGAAACCTCTCCAGTAGCCACGACAGAAAGGCCGGACGAGTGCACCTTGCACAGCGGTGGGCCGGTCGGCGTGGCAGGAACGTGAGGAGCCAAGGGAACAAATGTCAGCATCTCCAGCCATCTGCAAATGGGTCCAGGGCCATGCGCGTGGGGCGGGGGGGCCTTCTTAACCCTTGTCCCCCCCAAGGCAGGCCTCATCCTCTTCCCTCCAGGGTTGCCCCGCACTGCACTGACAATGAAGGTTCCAGCTCCCCCTAATGGGGAGCTCCCTCGGGCACGGACCCCACGGCTTATTTGCGTGTGTGCCCTTGCAGCCCAGTCCCGGGTGCCCACCAAGATGTGGACATTGAGGAAAGGCGGTGTCTGCCTCGCACATCTCTCATCAGGGCCCTGATGGATCAGTCTTTAAATAGGGGAGACCCAGATGGCACCTCGGAGGCTGTGTCCAGAGCGAAGGGGGCAGGGGGAGCCTCCTGTGCTCACAGCCACGATGCAAACCTGTTGACCCCCCACCTCTGCCACCATAGTGGTTTGCAGGTGGCCCCATGTGTCACGACACCGCACTAGGGTTGCCTGAGCCACACCACCCGGGGACCGTGGGGTCCACAGGTGGGAGCTGTAACACCCGGGGGCAGTTGTTAGGCTCAGTTTTCGGCATTTGAACAGAGCTCAGTGAGCAGTGTGACCTGGTGGCTTTCCCTAGAGGTTGGTTCTAAAGTGCATGTGTTTGGGTCCCTCAGAGACGCCCCTGACCTTAGCCGCCCAGCTGGACGACTCCGTGGAGGTCATCAAAGCTCTCAGAAACGGCGGGGCTCACCTGGACTTCCGTGCCAAAGACGGGATGACCGCCCTGCACAAAGCCGCCCGGACAAGGAACCAAGTTGCCCTCAAGGTAAATCCCGGAGCCCGGCTTGCACGAGGGACACCCCCTCCCCTACCTGGTCCCCTGCAGCTGCCCCCGTCCCATCCCATCCCCACGGTGCCCAACCCCGAAGGCACTGTGAGCCAGGTTCCAACTGCAGCAGGCTCCAGGCTCTCCTGGGTCTCGTTGCTGTTCTAACTCACTGTTAACAGAAAGTTGTCTTTCTCCTGTTAGTGCAGTCGACGGGCTTGTCTTTTCACCCCACCCATGGGAGGAGGCTGCAAACCCAGCCTTGCTGCTAATGCCGCCTCTGCGTCTTTGCAAGCCCATCGTGGGTGTGGGTCCCTCGTCTTCCTCTGGTCGCTGGCCCTGTGCCTGTTTGACCTGTTCTAACGCTGTGTGCGGGAAGCGCCCAGATAGAATGGCGGCCGCCCCAGGCCCGGTCTCCACGAGAGCCTGAGTGAGGAGGGAGCGGGGTGCGCCGCTGCAGGCTGACCCGAGGTGGGGGCTCCTCCCTACGGTCTGGAGCTTCCCACCTCGACCGCAGCGGCACCTTTCCTGGCTTCCTGGGAAATCGGACGCGTCACAGCGACGCCGGCGGCCAGGTTCGCCAGGCTCAGGGTGCACGCGGGGAGCGTCTCCTGGGTGAATTCAGGCTGGATAGTACGGCTTTCTCTTTGCCGCAAATGTCGCCTTCATGTCATTGCTGTCCACGATGCACCACTGGGCCGGGCTGAGTGCCGCAGGTCTGCGTCTGCTCGGTGTCCCCTCGTGTCCCGAGTGCCAGCCTGTCCTGGGTGCCTGGGCACCGTTGCCATTTCAGGGCCAGAAACTTCGCGGTCTACAGTCAGCATCCTTAGTTCTGGGGACTCGGTGACAGCAGTGGGAGTCCACGTGCAGGTCGGCCTTGGCCCGGGGGACACTGGCTCCTGCTGGTTTCCTGAGGTCTCAGTCTGAGCAAACGGGGTCATGATTCCAGTGACTGTAACGTCAGATTTTCTTTCCTAGACCCTGCTAGAGCTTGGAGCGTCCCCGGATTACAAAGACAGCTACGGCCTCACGCCCCTGTACCACACGGCCATCGTTGGGGGCGACCCCTACTGCTGCGAGCTCCTCCTGCACGAGCACGCCTCTGTGTGCTGCAAAGACGAGAACGGCTGGCACGAGATCCACCAGGTACGCAGGCCGCCTTCCCCTCCCATCCTGCCCGCACGCCCGCCTCCCCTTGTGCTGCAATCCCCGGGCCGGGCGGGCAACGCATAGGTCAGGTCCTACCTGGAATTCCTAAAAAATGTGAATTAAAAATGTGAGCACCAGCATTCAAAACCAGACACATTTATCATAGAAATAACCATTTCTGACTCCTCCGGAGCAACCGGAAGATTCGGCGAGGCTGTTGCAATGCGCACAGCAGCAGGGCACTGGAGCTGTGGGGTGCACGCCTGCTTCCTAGGGGCCCCGTTCTCTCCAGGTCCCCACCGTCCTGACGGCAGGTGCCAGGTGCCTTCTGAGCACAGGGGACCCAGTGCGAGGCCTGGGCAGCATGTTTTTCAGACTCCACCTTGTGCCAGTGGGGTTAGGGCGTGTGCCAACCACAGTCTTGGCCTGAAACACGATCCACCTGATGTCTCCAGTGAAAAGTCTTTAATGGACCAGGTACAGGTGTGGCCAGGGTTAAGGTCGAGCCCCATGGACAAGAGCACTGGGGAGGAGATGGTGTGTCTGGGAGCAGCAGAGCCCGCTGAGGAGGTTGGAGCCTGGCGGGCACATGTCGGGCAGGGCGGGAGAAGAAACACCCACCTCCGTCCTCTTGGCTGAGCCCAGCGGTTAGAGCGGTGGACTGGGCCGCCTGGTTTGGGGGTTTCTGCCCTATATTGTCCTGGGAGGTCAGATCCGGATTCGGTGCCCCCACCTTGCCCAGCAGGGTTCTGTTTGGAGAAATAAACAAGGCCACCTTTCTCCGGGGGTCTCCAGGGGAAAGGAGGACCACTAAGGTTCAGCCCAGACTCCTGAAGGGAACAGAGGAGAGCAGGTGGGGGTGGCAACCTGAGACCAGGGTGATAGAGGGCCACCCTGTCCCCCTGTCAGGTCTAATGACAGAGTCCAAAAACTCTGCAAGGGGCTGTGTAGTGACAGTGGCAAAGACCTGGCTTTCTGTGTCAGGACCCTGTCTTCAAATTCAGTCATGTTCCCAGGTACTGGGGGTTGGAACGCCAACGTGTGAAGGCTGTCAGGACACAGTTCGGCCCAGAAACTGATCAGAACAGAATGAGCCACTGTCTGGTTTGCACCACAGGCCGTACCCTGCCTCAGTTCCCAGACTGCTCCACGTGCCTCGGTCCCCTCACCGCTGGTCCGGCGGGAAGACCACACCCGGGCTTTGAAAAACGTGGGATGTGGGTCGTGGAGCAGCCGGCAGCTCAGGCCCAGCAGGGGGTGTTTGCATGTGTTGGGACAAGACGTTGTCCCTTTGCTGACGGGCAGGCTGCCTCCTGACCACATGGGGCTGCAGTGACGAGACCTGCGTTCTGGTAGGCTGCGGCTTCCACCCCGCGCTATAAGGCTCGTGCTGGAGGGGAGTGCCTGAGCGTGGTTTGGACTGTCACGGTTTTACTGGGGCACGGGCCACGCAGGAGCAGCAGTGGGTCCACCTGAGCGGGCGTTCGCTGCTGGTCTGCAGTGCCGCCAACTCCACGCTGTTGTAGCCACTGCGCTGGGCGCCGCACAACCCCAGGGGGCGCCATGCCCCTGGCTGTGGTATTGGCATTACGTTCATCACAGCTGTCCAGCAGGTGGCAGTAAAGTGCCTAAAGGAAAGAGCACCCTTTTTTTTCTGTGTAATTTATACCAAATCGTGTGGTTGCCAAGCGGTGGGTCAGATGCTAGGCTTAGTTGGGGTGAACTGAGGTTCTCTGGGGAGCCTTATCCAAATGTACCTGCCCAGGCCTCACCTGCAGGTTCAGAGGCGGCAGGTGTGGGTGGAGCCCCCCACATGCATTCTCCCAAGGGCACCTCAGGAGTGGGCCAGGGTGCGAGGGGGTGGGGGCAGGGTCTGTCCTGCACGCAGTTGTTCTCCAGCCTCTTACCCGGCCCTCCAAGCTGTCTGTACGGCCAGAAAGCACAGCGCCCTTTCAGAACAGGAAAGAGGGGTGGGCATTGCTTATCCTGGGGGCGGACGGCTTTCGTACTTCCGCACTTCCGGAATCTTTGTGTCACGCAGGTACTTTCTTTTTTAAGATTGTAAATGACTGTTTTATTTTGAACTCACAGAGGAGTTGTAGGAATAGCGCAGGGAACGCTCCTGCGCCCCTTGCTCAGAGACCACGTCCGAGCGCTGCCACTTGGCCCCATCTTGTTCATCGCAGCAGAAGGGTTCGGTCTGGGACCCGAGTGCCTCAGTCTCCCCTCGTCCTCGGGGCCGTGACGACCCTTTTGAAGAGTGGTCGTTTTGTCTCAGTTTGGGTCCGTGCAGTGTTGGCTCACGAGATCGGGGGCACACGCTTCGGCAGGACTGTCTTAGAAGCGAAGCCGTGTGCTCGGCAAGGCGTCCCTCATGCCCGCGGGGGCGCACGGTGGCCGGCTGCCCGTTACCAGCAACGTCCACGCTGAGCTCCTGACCGCCGGGCTGCCGGGTTTCTCGAACACAGCTCCTCTCGTCTCCTTTGTGACCAGTAGGTCTTTTGTGGTGGTCTTGGCGCCGATGTAAAAATCCATCCATCCCCTCTCACCTGCTGGTTTTGGGATCCACTGGCTTTTCTCACCTGAATTATCACAGTCACGGTTCCCAAATGGACACTTCTGGATTCCTATCATTGCTTCCACACTTATTAGTTGGCTTTCTGTTATATAAAAAAGTTTTTCTTCTCGTTTATTCTTTCATCTGTAACATTCCAGACACACCGATTTCTGCTTATTCTGTGACGATCTGTTTTCTCAGTTTTAGCCAATGGGCGCCCTGTGAAGATGGTGCCCATTGGCTATCCCCGTCAACTTGGGGACACTTCCTTTTTTCTGGCACAACGAAGCTGTATTCCAAGCTCTCGTTCTTTTCCTGCCTCAGCCTTGGGCTCAGCCATTTCTCCAAGGATCCTGGTTCTGCGTGGCGCAGAATGGTGTTTAGCGAGGGAGGTCCAGGTGCCAGGTGTGCTGGCCGTGGCGGGGCTGCCGCTGCCCCCACGCCTTATCATGGCCAGAGTTAGGGACATGTGTATACATGTGTACCCACATTTCATTTTTCCCTGTGTTGAGGAATGTGGGGTCATACTCACCCCCATCCCAAGCCAGTGCCAAAGGTTGGTTCTGGTTTCTGCTGTGCCATTTCGTCACTTCCTTCTCCCTTCATGGGCTCACTGGCTCTGTCCCCCTGGCCGCAGCCACCTGCTGGCCTGTCTGGCTGCCACCTTGCTGGGATTCCCTTTACACCCTGCCAGCGGCCTCTTCCTCGGCAAGCACCACCGCTGGGCTTCGACAACCCGGGATTAAAGACGAGACTAACTGAGATGATCCTTTAAAGAAAACCTGCTGGTGGATGCAGGACTGTGGGATTACGGGTGGTGTTTGTTCTAGCACTTTGCTGTGTTTCCTGGCTTTGCGTGTCGTAAAGCGACAGTCACGGGGACAGAAGACACAGGGAAGGACGCTCTTGAGGACGAGTCTCTGAAACCGTCTGTCCAGGGCGATGGCTGCACTTTGTCCCTTGGCTCTGATCGTGTTTGACCCCTGTCGAGAGGAGAGTGCTCAGGGCCATCCCACTGGTATAACTGAAGCCTCATCAATTTAGACTAATCGGGGGAAGGGGGATAATGAGTGTGGATTAATTGTGCAGCGTTTTTATGGTAACAAAGTTCTCGTCTTTATTGACTATGGAGCAATTAAATTAAGCGGTAGCAAAGTGCTGCTACAAGTCCTTTGGGGAGCGCTGAGTAGCCAGAGATCCTTCTTTTTAGGGAGCAAAGATCCCAACTCAAACTGGTTTTGGGGGCGCATAGTGGGGTGGGGGGTGGGAATTAGGCCTGGTGTTTTTGACCCTGAGAATCCAGACAGGGCAGCTTAGATGGGCTTGGATAGTGTCATCCTGGCTTAGTCTGTGTGTGTCTCTCGTCTCCTGGTCTCTCTGGTTCTCCCTCTCGCACTAGCATCCTCCCGCGTTGACGGGCCCCGGGCAGCTCCAGGGTTCTGTGGTTTTCCTGCTGACCGTCCTGGAAGAACACAGGACTTCTCTTTCCCATAGTTCTGACGGATGTTCCAGCTTGGGATGTTGCAGGTTCCCCAGGGCCACACGGGCATCCCTGAGCCATGCCTGGGAGAGGGACCTCTGGCGCTGGCCTGCGTCCTGTGCCCCAGCAGGAGCAGGGTGGGCCGGCCTTCCCCGGACCTCTGGCAGTGGAGCTGGGCCCCCAAGTGCAGGTGCTGCTCCAGAGGAAGGGGCGTGGGGGCAGGGCAGGTAAAAGCAGCAGTATCTACAGGAAGGATCTGCCTTATAAATTAATGAGATTTTGCGGGAGGCACTGCTATGAAAATGGATGTTTCTTGGGGTTTTTTTAAAAGCTCATGAAATCAATTATTTCAGTATCTTTCCTACCATCTTTCCTCCTTGTTAACTGCCCAGGTATAGGTCTTTTTCCTAGATCCTGCAGAGGAGAAGTTCACCTCCATCCGTCTCAATGATCAGAAATGCGTGATTAACCAGGGCTTGTGCTGGGTCTGGCCTGGAGCCCCGTGCTCTGGCCACCCAGTGGCTGCCTGCCCTCGGTGTGGCTGTCCTGTTGCCTTCCCTACCCTCAAGGGGAGAAGTGTGGGCTCAGAACCCATGTTTCTCACTGCCTGAGGCTGCAGCCCCCAGTGTCGAGCAGCATGCAGGTGGACAGAGGCACCCTTGTCACCTGTGCAGCGGGGACCTCCCTGCTCCCTGTGAGCTGGGGTGGAGACGGGTCGCACAGGCTTATTGAGCGCTGCTGGGTGCCGGGCCTCCTGTGAGGCCTCGTGGGGTCACATGATTGTCGTACGAACCCTGCAAGGTGCACTGTTGCTCCCGTTTACAGATGACAACCTAGGTGGACTCCGAGGTGACAGTTCTGATAAACTGAAAGTCGTTGGCTCAGGCCCGGATCTGCCTGACCCCAGCCCCTGGCGGTTCATAAGTCGCACACATTGCCCCCCTCCTTGCCCCAGAAGGGCCTGGAGGGGTCGATCACGTTGGGGGCTGCCCTGTCGCTGCCTCCTGCAGCCTGCTTAGGGGCTGGATTACGTTGAAAGTGACAGCGGAGCTGCCCCGGCACGTAGAGGGACAGACACGGGCCCACCCCCCGGGAGGTGGCAGCAGGAGGAGGCTGCGAACCCCTCCCTGGAGAGGGGCTTGGAGAACCTGGCTTGCATTTCGTAGAGCTGGGCACCGAGGTTGGGGTACAACCTCCCTTGTGTCTCTGGGCTTCTAAGCCGCTGGTCTGAATGGAAGGAACTTGGGGACCCCTTCCCAGACCCTCTAACAGCCAAGTGGAAGTGCCCAAACCAGTTGTGAGGCTGTTTCGCCCCGATCAGCAGCCGGGGGTCTGGGGGTCACCCCGAGCCTCGGGGTGCAGCAGGTGCTGATGCGTGTGGGCCCTGGTGCAGGATGGTGGGGGGAGGTCCACACAGGCCCTGCCCGCCCCGGGGTTCTGTGTGACAGGTGTGCCTGGTGCGTGAGCGCGGCCATCGTGCTGGGGCTGCCGATTCACAGCTGGGCTCTCTGTTGCAGGCCTGCAGGTACGGACACGTGCAGCACCTGGAGCACCTGCTCTTCTACGGGGCGGACATGGGCGCCCAGAACGCCTCGGGGAACACGGCCTTGCACATCTGCGCCCTCTACAACCAGGTCAGTGGGGAGCGCGCACGCCCCGCCCGCCCCGCCCTGGGGCCACCGGCACAGGGCCGAGGGCCTCTCCGGGGGGCGTCTCAGGTGACCCTCACCTGCCGCTCTGGCGGGAACGGTCCCGCTGTTGTGGAAAAGAGGACACAGAGCCCCAGGGGAGCAGGGCGAGCAGCCCCTGCTCACGCACCTGGTGCCCCCAGCGCTGGGCTCGCGACTCGGGTCTGTTCCAGTGCTGCACCTCCTCGCCATGCACCTTCCAGAAGTGCACGGAGCCGGGGTCCTCCCGTTCCCACCCTCGGGAGCTGGGCGCAAACTCCGCTGGGTCCCGGAGCCTGTGAGGGCGGGTCTCTGCGTGGGGCAGGAGAGACGCTGACCAGGCCGAGAAGTGGGCAGGGACGTGGCCGACAAAGCCGGGGTGTGGTTTGGCACCCACCCCCACGAGAAGTCTGCCACAACGTCACGTAACAAAAGCCAGCTTTTCACTACTGCACGTGACAAACGTGCCCTGATGTGCTCTTTCTTTAAGTGGTAAAATACCCGTGACAAAGTCCACCGTCTTCACCGTTTCTGAGTGTACAGTTCGGTGCCGCAGGCACATTGGCGTTGCCCTGTGGCCGTCACCGCCGTCCCCCTGCAGAACATCCTCGTCCCCCAGCTGAGACTCCGTCCCCGTCACACGCTGACTGCTCCACCCCTCCCCCAGCGCCGGCACCCCCACTCCCCTTTCTGTCTCTGTGGATGTGCCTGTCACAGGGAGCTCCTGTAAGTGGAACCACATGGTGTTCGTCCTCTTGTGTCTGCCTGCCTTGACATTTTCGAGGTTCCTCTAGCACGTGCCAGAGCGCCCTTCCTTTTTACGGCGGAGCTCTATTCCGTCGTGCGAACGTACTGCCGCGCGTTTTGTTCATTCCTTCGTCTGTCGGTGGACACTTGGGTGGCTTCCCCTTTTCACTGTCGTGAATGACGCCGCTGTGGACGTGGTGTGCAAGCGTCAGTCCACGACTGTCCCTGGTCCTGTTTGGTGCAGGCCCAGGTGTGGAGCCTCGGTGTGAACACATCGCAGCGCACGCTCTCCGCTGTGAGACCGGCCGCGAGGGCCCAGGGCGGCAGGCGGGGAGAGTGTCTGGGAAGCGGAGTGGGCTGTGGTCTCTGCCCTGGGGAGAGGGGGCCCCGAGCGGCAAGGGGGCGCCCCCGCTGTGCAGGGTGTGCATGGCTGGGCGGGAGGAGAAGCCACGGAGCTGCAGGCCCTGCAGGGCGGGAGGAGAGGGAGGCTCCCGGTGGATGCACAGGGCGGAGGCTGCCAGTTTCCTGGGTGCTCAAGCTCAGGCTGATTGATTCCTGGACGTCACTATTGAGGGACTCCTCTGCCCCTTTTTTCTTTTATTCTTCTCTTTCTCTGAATTCAAGGACCCTCCAGTCCGGAGGGTGGGGAGATGTGGACGCTGTACCAAGCAGGGATGGGAGGGCACGTGGCTCTTCCTCCTGGAGGGACAGAGGGAGGTCACAGAGGAGGGGCTCTGCTGGAGGCCCCTGGGCTCTTTGCACCTGGGTCTCTGTGGTCCATCAGCATCATCTTCCCAATCCAAAGCAGTGCTCCCACCCTGTTGGCCCACTGTGCCCTCCAGGGTAGCAGCTCCAGCCTCACCTACACCCAAAGCCCTCCCGGGCCCCTCCATGGCTACTCACCAGCCCATCCCCCCCGCCAGCCACTCTGCTTCAGTCCCACTTTGCTTTTAGCTGTTAAATTTTCCTGGATTATTTCCTCTGGAAAACTCCTATGCATCTTTCAAAACCCAACTCAGGTATCCCATTCCCCAGTTAAGCCTTCCCCTGATGACCCCTTGATGCAGTTAGTTGTACGTTTTGCTCTGCAGCCCTTTGCAAGACATAGCCAGGGTGAAATGTCCAGGACTAAGTGGAGACTGTTTTCCTTGCCGACGTTCCCTGCCCCTTGGGTCCATCTTCTCAGGGGCATAAACTACCGTCTTTTGGCGTCTCCACTGTGCCTGGCGCGGGAAAGCAGCAAAGCCGAGTGAGGCCGGGCGAGCGGTCCAGCCGGGCTTTGAGGAGCATTTGCAGAGCTGCCGCTTCCTCCTGGAGGAAAGCACGTTGATGGGATCCGTGAGCAGCTGCGGGCCCGGGCGCCGCGGCGCTCAGACGCCGGCTCGCCTTTGTGAGCCTGGAGACGCGTCGCTCAGCTGCATCAGGAAAACACAGCACGGGGCTTGGCTGTCGCGGGTAAAACATCTGCACGAGCATCTGCTTCCTAATTACTGCTTTACATGGGAAAGACATTCCTTAATTTTCCCCAGTAGATTTCAGGCATATTTTATCTTGGAAAAAAACAACAACCAGGAAAAGTATGTTTTCTGTCACTTGAAATAATTGCAGACAAGATGGTCTTGCAAAGAATTGATTTTTTTTTTTTTATTAGCAAAGGTTAACACATTTTGGTAATCTGCATCGTCAGTTACTTACGGGGCTGAGCGTGACGTGGTGTCGTCCCAGGTGCCACACCTGTGCCCGCCCTCGGCTGCTGGCTCGGGGAGGGTCTGGAGCCGGCCAGGACTCTCAGGAAAACCCCTTCCCCGTGGGCCTCGGGTTAGCACAGGGGTCGCCGGGTCAGCCAGGTTCTGCTATAAAAGGCCAGTCAGTAAATATTTTAGACTCTGAGGACCACGTGGACTCTGTCGTAACTATTTAGCTCAGCCATTGTAGTGCAGAAGCAGCCAAGACAATACAGAAATGAAAAAGTATGTCTGTGTTCAAATAAAAAACTTGACTTACGAAGCGGGCAGTGGGCCATTCTGGCCTGTGAGCTGTGGTTTGGGAGCCTTGGAATCAAGGTGGCATCTGCTGCTCTCCCCGACCTGGATTGCAGACAGACCCCCCTCCCGGGGCTGAGCGGCTTCCCCGCAGGCCAGGAGCGTCTGTAGCGTGGGGAGAGCCGTCCCCTCCAGGGTCCTGGGGCCGCCAGAGGCAGCCTGCTGCTGCCCCAGCTGCCGCCTGTGTGCCCCTCAACTTCTGGCTGGGTACAGATGTCTGAGCTGACACCCCCAGTTTTGACCCCCTCCCCGGCGATGCCTCCAGGGGCCATCGTGTAGGGCCACAGGCTCTGGGCTTGTTGTCCCTCTTGGCCTCTGGATGCCACATCCACTTGGCATGTCAGCGAGCATTCTAGGATCCAGCTCCACGGATCCTTCACGCCTGTCCCTGGGATTCTGGGGTCTTTACTGGCCTCCCTGTGCCTCCCGCAGCCTGTCGGAGGGTCTCACAGACATGGGAAAGAAGCCAGTCTGAGCTGCGGCTCAGCATGAGTCCAGGAGAGGCATGGCTCCGTGCCCGTGTCCTCCAGGTGCTGGTAACGGCTGTCTGGGAGGAACGGGGACCCAGCCTGTGTCTAGGCAGCGCACACTTGACCCAGAGCTGCTGTGCTCCGTCTCCCCAGCGTGCTGAGCACCTTGCTGCAGCCACTTCCCTGTCTACACACGTGTGATGTGTGGGGCTGTGTCAGCCGAGCCTCAGGTGCAGACAGCAGAAACCACGCTGGCCATGCTACAAGGAAACGTGTCCTACAGGGTGCGCTGGAGAGTGACATAACAATAGACTGTCCAGGGATGGGATAAGGGTGCCTTGGAATCAGGACAAGGCAGCTTTGGTTTAGTGGAACACAGTGCAAGGAGGTGTGGCTGTTGGGACCGTTCCCTTGCTGTGCCATCCTGGGCCACCGATCGCCACTCTTGGGCCCTGAATTCCCTTGTCTGTAACATGAGGAAAGTTATACCCAACTCAAGGGTTTCCAAGGAGCCTAAAAACAGAAAACGAACATGGTGTGGCTGGCACATAGTAGATGCTCAGTAAGTAGTGGCTGTAGTGATGGTGGAGAATGGTGGTATTGATGGTGATGGTGTTGATGGTGGGAGTGATGGTGATGGCAGTGATGGTGACAGTGGTGATGGTGGTGGTGGCAGTGATGGGGATGATGGTGGTGATGACAGTGATGGGGATGATAATGTTGATGGTGATGGTGATGCCATGATGGTGATGGTGGCAGGATGGTGATTGACAGTGGTGGTGATGGTGGTGGTGATGATGGTGGTGACAGTGATGGTGATGATAGTGATGGTGGGGGGTGATGGTGGTGGTGGTAATGGTGGTGGTGATGATGGTGGTGGTGGTGATGTTGGTGTGGTGATGGTGGTGGTGGTTATGGTGGTGGTGACAGTGATGGTGGTGATAATGTTGGTGGTGATGGGGTGATGGTGGTGATGGTGGTGGTGACAGTGATGGTGGTGATAATGTTGTGGTGGTGGTGATGTTGGTGTGGTGATGGTGGTGGTGGTTATGGTGGTGGTGACAGTGATGGTGGTGATAATGTTGGTGGTGATGGGGTGATGGTGGTGATGGTGGTGGTGACAGTGATGGTGGTGATAATGTTGGTGGTGATGGTAGGGGGTGATGATGGTGGTGATGATGGTGGTGACAGTGATGGTGATGATAGTGATGGTGGGGGTGATGGTGGTGACAGTGATGGTGGTGATAATGTTGGTGGTGATGGTGGGGGTGGTGATGATGGTGGTGATAGTGGTGGTGATGATGGTGGTGACAGTGATGGTGGTGATAGTGATGGTGGGGGTGATGATGGTGACAGTGATGGTGGTGATAATGTTGGTGGTGATGGTGGGGGTGGTGATGATGGTGGTGATGGTGATGGTGGTGGTGATGGTGGTGATGATGGTGGTGACAGTGATGGTGGTGATAGTGATGGTGGGGGTGATGGTGGTGACAGTGATGGTGGTGATAATGTTGGTGGTGATGGTGGGGGTGGTGATGGTGGGGGTGATGGTGGTGATGGTGATGGTGGTGGTGATGATGGTGGTGACAGTGATGGTGATGATAGTGATGTTGGGGGGTGATGGTGGTGACAGTGATGGTGGTGATGATGTTGGTGGTGATGGTGGGGGTGACAGTGATGGTGATGATAGTGATGGTGGTGATAATGTTGGTGGTGACAGTGATGGTGGTGATGATGTTGGTGGTGATGGTGGGGGTGATGGTGGTGGTGGTGGTGATGGTGATAACAGTGATGGTGGGAATAGTGCTGATGGTGGTGATGATGGTGATGAGCAGAATAAATGAGCTTCCTAGTTGAGTTGTTTGACTCCACACTGGAATTACCTAAGGAACCCGTTGATAATATAGATAACCAGGCTTCCAGCCCAAATCCCAGGATCCCAGCAGTGCTGAGCGTCTGCGCAGAGGCAGCTGGGTCCTCTGTGGACCCGGCGCCAATGTGCTGGGCTCCATGCTCACTAAGCTCCCTTCCCATTCTGCCGCGACGGATCATGACCAAAGTCATATACATCACCAAACCTGGGCAGCCACCACTTCACCATGGTATCTGATGGTGGCTCGAGGCGCCTCCTCCCTGGACGTTGCCTGTGGTCACCAGATGCACACTCACAGCTGGAACGTTCCCTCATGGAGCTGGGGAAATTGCCAAGCGAGGGCGTTCTGTCTCCCTTCCCTGGGTCCTTGGACTCTTCCAGTCTCTTTAGACGAGTCTTCCAGCCCCTGAGCTTTCCTGCCACAGACGCTGAGGCCTGGGAGGCGGCCGCCCTCTACTGTCCAGGACTGTCCCGAGCGTGGCAGGACATTTAGGATGAGCATGCTCCAGGCACTAACGTCCAGGAGTGTCCGCCAGCCACTGGCCGTCAAGATCGCTTGCGTACGTTGCTCCTCCCCCTTTCTACGAGGAGACTCATTCATGGTCCTAATGATGGTGACGGTGATATTGCCACTGATGGTAATTTGCCGCAAGGAGCCTCTTCTTATCAATTCCAACAGCATCTAGGTGTGTGTACTGATACATGTGACACATGTGCTTTATCAATTCTACGCTGGCTCTACGCTTCCAATAAAATATACTGTGATCAGAATATTCTCTCTTCTTTTATGAAATCAGCTAATTAGGGCTTTGACTGTAAGCAGCAAATTGTGTCTAATCTGTCAGCTCCCTCCCCTGGCGCTGGCTTTCGGAGAGCTCCGGAGGGAGGGAGGCAGCCTGGCGTTTGTTTTTCTGCCCCTGATAATGAAGGAAAGAAGGGAGTTTTAAATACCAAAGGTTATTAGGCCAGGCCAATTTGTCTGGAAAGAAAAAAAAAAAAAAAAAAAAAACCAGGAAGCAGCCTGCCTCTCAGGGGCAAGTGTTTTGATTTTAGTGAAGGCCGAGGTGGGAAGAGACGGAATGTTTTCCGTGGGCATCCGTGGCCCTTGCTGCTGTCCCAAGCTCGGTGGTGGCTTCCACAGGCCCCTGGGGGCACTGATGTCCGGAGCCTTGAGCATCATGGATGCACCCTTAGATCCCCCGAGCCTTTGGTGGGTACTTCGTTTGGCTTTTCCTTTAAGCAGGTGAGACGATCCCTACTAGGTCCCAAAGTAACTCACTTAGCAAGTGGCAAAGCTGGGCTTCCCACGTGCCCTCCCCAGGCTTTGGGGACACGACCCCATGACTCTGGGGAGTCTGTGGCTCTGGGGAGGGCTGTGGCTCTGCCGGGCACAGGTCGGGCAGAAGCGCCCCTGCCTGATGGCATGTGAGGGGTGTGGTGCCGCCTGCCCTGGCCCTTCTGGGGCGCAGCTATCCCCGGGGAGGGTCGGTCTGTGGGACCTCTTTTTTTTTAAACTCTGGATTTAGTTGTACCCCAAATATGAACGATTTGTTCGCTGAGAACGTTTATATCTTTTTGAATTGTATTTTTTATTGCACCCAAAGCAAGACATGTTCATGGCAAAAATGAGAAGAGCATAGAAATCCCAGAGTGAAACCCGGAAGTCCACGTCGTGTCTTTCCCAGGGGTTCCTGCCCTAAGCCCTCGAGCGGGTTGTCACACCGCTTGGACCAAGGCACGTTCTTGCACATCCACATCTTTGCTTTCAAGCACGGGGGCTCCTAGCAGTGTGTCCCTCTGTTGCTTGCTCTTTCCAACCCGATCCCTCATCTCCAGTGTCCTTTGTGCCACCTGGAGTGAGCGCACTGGCTCCTTTTAACCGCCGCGCCCTGTGCCCCAGGCTGAGGTTCCACCTGCATCAGCCCACGCCGCAGAGGGCAGCCTCTGTGTCCCTGCCTTCCCAGAACGGCCAGCGTCTCCTGCGAAACCCACGGGGCAGCCCCTGAGTCCCAGCACACGTCTTCCGGGAAGAGACTCAGTATCCCTGTGGGGCTGGGCCAGCTGGGGCCAGAGGCAGGCGGGGGTCGGGGCTGCGGGCTTCGTGCAGAAACCTGCGCTCCTGTGCTCCTGAGCCCGTCCTAGGGGTCCCTGCTGCTCACGGTGGACACCCGCGGTTAGTAACATTCGGAGTCGTTCCGGCTGGGCTTGTTCCCCTCAGCACCACGGGGTGGGGGCAGGATGACTCTGTGTTGCTGGGGCCGCCTTACGAACTGGGGGACACTTCACACCATCCCTGGCCTTCACCTGCTCAGTGCCAGCAGCCCTCACCGTTGGGACAGCCAAATGTCCCCTAGAGGGCAAAATCACCCCCAGTCGACAACCACTGCCCCAGGGTATAGGGAAACTCTTTTGGATTTGCTTCTCATTAGAATTGGGGTACACAGGCTCTGGCGAGGGGGGTCTCCTGACCAGCCTGACCTTCCTGCAGGGGGGCAGGGCAGGATTCTCAGCACAGTCCGGGGGGTGGTGGTCCACTCTCACTTCCTACGTGGGTTCCGTGGCATCGCAGCCAGAGCCCTTCTGCACAGAGGTGGCCTCGGATGGGGCGTGAGGCAGAGTGTACCCCCACGCTCACAGGTGACTGTTCACTCAGACGGTGACCAAAGCCAGCCACAGTGCAGCCGAGGCCCGGGACGCTGGCAGCTTGGGGACACAGCGGCTGGTTGGTCTTTGTCCACGTGACCCAGACCTGCCCTTGCCTGCGTCCCGTGTTCTGGCCCCGAACAGAGTCCTGCTTTGGGCTTCTGTCTGCTTGCTCGCAGTTGGCTTCCTCGTTGACAGTCACCGTCCGGGGTGGAGGCCCCTCGGGACCCTTGCCTGGGTGGCCGGGACAGGCAGCCCTGCGGCTCCTGAGAACTCGCTTCCCCTCTGTGCACAAGGCTCGTGCGGCCCGTGTGGCTGGGGATGTGGACTTTCTGCCCGTGTGGCTCCCTTTCTCGCTCTTTCTTTTCAACGTGGCACCTTTACTGAGACTCAGTCCACACTCCGTACCGTTCCCCCTTCCAAAGCTCGTGTTGCCGTGCTGGTCGGTCCATTTGCAGAGTGTGCAACCACCACTACCACCCACATTAGGTCATTTTTGTCACCCCAAACAGGAAGCTTGTGCCTGTGTGCAGTTGGTCACATGTCCCTCTGACCCTCCCAGCCCTGGGCAGCCTCTCCTCTCCCCCTGTCTCTCTGGGTTTTCAGCTTTCTCCTCCGATCTGCTGGCCCACCAGGTCCTGTGGCCTGAGTAGTGCCACTCGTCTTGACCCCGTGCTGCTCCCCAGGGTGGGCTTCTCCTTCTGGTCGGGGCTGGGGTCTGTGGCCTGTCCAGGTGGGAATCCCTGGTTGGTTATTTCACTCATTGGTGACCTATTCGATTGTTATTTTTCAGGTGTCGTGTCTGGGCAATCTTGCCTGTCGTCATCTGGGTGCTAGACTGTAGGTAAAGATGGAGTGGCCAGGACACGCCCAGGGCAGGGCTGACAGTGGCTCGCGTTGGGGCCACCAGCACAGACCCTGTAGGGGAGGGTGCCCCAGCCCGGTGGGGGGCTGCCTTGCAGCAGGATGCATGACACCGGCCTGTCCTTTACTTCGTTCATTTGATTTTGAGACAAGGTCTCGCTCTGTCCCCAGGCTAGAGTGCAGTGGCATCGTCGTAGCTCACTGCAACCTCAAACTCCTGGGCTCAAGTGATCCTCCTGCCTCAGGCTCTCAAGTAGCTGGGACTACAGGCTTCAGCCACCACGCCTGGCTAATTTTTAAATTTTTTGTAGAGATGAAATCTCTCTGTGTTGCTCAGGCTGGTTTCAGACTCCTGGCCTCAAGTGATCCTCCTGCCTTGGCCTCCCAAAGTTCTAGGATTACAGATGTGAGCCACCACGCCCGGCCCCTTGACCATTTAAATACTTTTCCAAAACCAGAATTTACTTGTTCAAAACAGTCAACGGCATTTGCTAGGCAAAATCACATATGCATACATCACTTTTCTACCATCTACCTTTTTATTTGTAGCTATTTGCCCTGTATTCTTCCTGGGAGCTTCAAGGGGGGGGGGGGCAAGAAGTTCTCCGTCTGCCCCACAGGCAAGTGGTAGGTGCTTAATAAATGGACAGGCGTAGGTCTATTTTCATTATAAAAATACACAAGAAATAAGGTTTGCCTGCTTTTAACAAACAATAAAAAAAAATTAAATCTCCATATAAAGAAAGATTCCTGCTGTTCTCTCCCTAATCTTTTTTCCTTCCTAAGAAGGTAAATACTGGGAACTGGGTGCGTATCCTTCTAGACATAATCTTTGCTTTTCTGTTATATAGACTTTAAGCTTTTAAAGTGTAAATGTAAAATTTCCTCTTCCTTTCTTTCTCTCTATATTTTACTTACAGTATTTCACTTGTTATGTATTTTATACATATGTGCAAGACTTCTTGTAGCATACAGCCTTGAAAAGTGGAATCGTTTGGCCATGGGGTGTATATATTTTAAATTTTTATAGACTCTGCCGAGCCTCCGGCCAAAGCATTTGCAGCAGTTAAGCCCCCGCTGGCTGACGGCGTGCGGGACCCGTCCCCCTCACGCCCGCAACTCTGACGAAGCGACCGCCCCCCCCTTTAACCCTGAGTCCGTATTTCCCTCGTTTCTCGCGGGCTTGAGCCTCTGGACGGGTTTCTCTGGAGACTGTCGATGGCGCCGTTTACAAGCAGGTGTCTTCTTTTCCCCTTGCAGGACAGCTGTGCCAGAGTGCTGCTGTTTCGAGGCGGAGATAAGGAGTTGAAGAACTACAACAGCCAGACTCCGTTCCAGGTACAGACAGCTCTCAAAAATCAGCAAGGCCCGTGTGCCAGTTATGCGGGAGGCAGCTCTCGAGTTTCTGCACGTCGTGTCTGTGTGTGTGTGTGTGTGTGTGTGGCTTGAAGTTGGCTCGTGTTTTTGGTGGACGTGTCCTGTCGCGAGGCCGCACCGTTGTGCCTCCCTGTCTCAGTGTTGAAGCTGCCGGCCTGTTTCAGTTGGCCTGCTCTGCACGCCTCGCTTGCTCGCAGCACCGGCGTGAACGGGGCAGAGCTGCGTCGGTGTGGGGCGCGCAAGGGAGCGGCTCTGCAAGGCAGCCGAGACGTGGGCGCTTTTAATCGTGCGGCCGTTGGAAAGCGCCGGATCCTCTGCCCGTCCCCGGAATGGGGCAGGCTTCAGAGCCTGTCACGGGAGGTGGCTTGTCATCCTTTGGCACCGCCCCACCCTGGGTCTGCTGTCCCAGAGTGGAGGGAGGACAGCCTCAACCCCGCGTTGGTCGGTGTATTCCATGGTAGAATACACAAGCCCCGGTCCTAAATTTTTTTTAAAAAATTGTGGTGAAATACATAAAACACATACTTTATCACTCTAACCATTGTGACATACACAGTTCAGTGCATCACGTGCATTCTACATTCATGGTGCTGTGCACCCATCACCGCTGTCTAGTTAGGAGCTATTGTGTTACCTTAAAGGAAACCCCACGCCCGCTGATCAGTCACTCCTCATTTCTCCTCCCCTCAACCCCTAGGCAGGGGTTGCAGGGGCAGCAACTACTCACTCTCTCTCTCTGTGGATCTGCCCATTCTGGACATTCCTTGTAAGCAGAGTCATGCGATACGTGACCTTTCGTGCCAGGCGTCTTGCACTCAGCATCGTGTTTGCAAGGTTCGTGCGCGTTGTAGCAGGTGTCGCTGTTTCATTCCTTTTCGTGGCTGAATAATGTTTTACGGTGTTGGGTGTGGAGCTCGTCTAATTTTGATGCTGCTGAACAGATATCAGGTAGTTTAGGGTGAAAATACATTTTTTTAGCTAAATGCTCTAAGTTCTAGAAATGCTTTGCGATACTGTACATAGTCAGATAATGGTCACTTGAGCTGCAAACTGATGTGACCATGAATCTCCCTGTTTGAAAATAATTTTTTTTTTTTTTTGAGACAGAGTCTCGCTTTGTTGCCCAGGCTAGAGTGAGTGCCGTGGCGTCAGCCTAGCTCACAGCAACCTCAAACTCCTGGCTCAAGCAATCCTCCTGCCTCAGCCTCCCAAGTAGCTGGGACTACAGGCATTCGCCACCATGCCCGGCTAATTTTTTGTATATATGTTAGTTGGCCAATTAATTTCTTTCTATTTATAGTAGAGACGGGGTCTTGCTCTTGCTCAGGCTGGTTTCGAACTCCTGACCTCGAGCAATCCGCCCGCCTCGGCCTCCCAGAGAGCTAGGATTACAGGCGTGAGCCACCGCGCCCGGCCATAATTTTTATGTTTTGTTTCACCGAGAGGAGACTTTAGAACTGGTTTCTGTGGATGACTTTACTGATGCTCTTCTTAGACATTACTAATATATGGATCAGGCTTGATGTATGGAAAACGAATGAGTTCAGTCCAACTGCTGGGCCCAGATGTCTAACAAGGACTGTTAAAGAGTTAACTTAATTCTTCCATTGCGGGGAGCCTGGATTCCAGCCTTGAATCTTGCAGTTTGCAAATGTTTAATAGAAAATGGATTGTGGAAATGGGTTCCTGGGTTGCTAATGGGTCTATAAAGATCGCAGTTGCTCTCTAAGAGAATTCGCTCTTTCCAGCGGGGACTGTGAAGGGGGTGTCATGTGCTACATCTGCCCTGTGGGGTTAGCTGTGCATTAGTGGGCTTGGTTTTTTTTAAAAAAAAACAACGCTTTTCTTGTTTTGGCTGTTAAATAATAATTTCTCTGGTCCTTTTTTTAAACAAAAGCTTAAAAGTTGCTTAAATTGTTGAAAAAACTAATTGCTAATGCCCTTTGAATCGTGGCAAGAATTTGGATAACACAGAGGGCCATTTCTGACTCTTCCGGGCCGTGGCTTTTAACTGACACATGACGTTCCAGGGAAGCCAGTCTTCCGTGGCATCTGGGCCCGAAGGCCAGTGTCGGTGGCCTGCCCCTCTCTGCCAATCCCCCTACTGTCCCATCACCACTAGCAGGGCCCTCCTGGGATGGGGGCGCCCCTCCTGTACGAGTCCCGGCAGGATGCTTTGCCCGCCCTCATGGCAGCCGGACCGCACCTGCGCAGCCAGTGCCATCGCCCTGGTTTTTGCTAATGGCGGTGAGTCAGGTGCCACAAATGGTCTTGAAGGAAAATGGTACAAAATACCATGGCACCAACTGGGCTTTGTGCCCTGCAAACACTGCTTGGGTAGCCGGCGGCATGTGACCCCAGCCAACCCACACGGCCAGAATGGGCTCCAGCTGCTGGCATCAGGAGCCGGTTTCCTCCTTCATATCTTCCTGCCTCGAGTTTCTATAATACCTGCGGGTCCTCGCCCATAAAATATCCCCAGCTTTCACTGTTCATTCACAGTTCTTTCTCCCCTCCCAACCGCGCAAAATGAGTTATACGATATCGGGGTGGGGGTGGGGGGACGCTGGCTCGCTGCCTCCCTGAAGAGAGATCAAACACGTTCACCTGGAAATTGGGGGTGAAACAAGGAACATCTCCGGCCGTTGTGGAGTCAGGCTCATGTAAGAAACCTTAGGGTGTTTGGCAGAATTCGCTGGCCATGCCCTTCCTTAACAGTGGAACCCCAACGCCGCACGAGCCGGATCTGAGAACCTGGGGGAAATGCGGGTTCCCAGGCCTCACCCCGGTCCCACTGGCTCAGGGCTCTGGGGGAGGCCTGGCGCTCTGTGTTTACTAAGCCCTCGGGGATGCTGGTGTCTGCTCAGGTCTGAGAATCAAAAGATAGACGTGAGTGCTTTGTGTGAGGAGAAGGAAGAGGAGGAGAGGAAGCACTTAAAATGTTGCCTGGGGGGATCTCGAATAAGGATGATGGTGATGGTAGATGGTGGTGATGATGGGGACAATGATGGTGGTGACAGTGGTGGTGACGTTGGTGATGGTGGTGACAATGGTGGTGATGGTGGTGATGATGATGGTGATGGTGATGATGATGGTGACGATGGTGGAGGTGATGATGATGACGATGGTGGTGATGATGGTGGTGACGATGGTGGTGGTGATGGTGGTGACGATGGTGGTGGTGATGGTGGTGACGGTGGTGATGATGATGGTGGTGATGGTGGTGATGATGGTGGTGATGGTGGTGATGGGAACAATGATGGTGATGGTGATGGGTACAATGATGGTGATGATGGTGGTGGTGACGATGGTGGTGATGATGACGGTGGTGGTGATGGTGGTGATGGTGGTGACGATGGTGGTGATGATGGTGGTGATGGTGGTGGTGACGATGGTGGTGATGATGATGACGATGGTGGTGGTGGTGGTGATGGTGGTGGTGGTGGTGATGGTGGTGGTGGTAGTGATGGTGGTGATGATGGTGGTGATGGTGGTGGTGGTAGTGATGGTGGTGATGATGGTGGTGATACGGTGATGGTGGTGGTGATGGTGGTGGTGGTGGTGGTGTGGTGGTGGTAGTGATGGTGGTGATGGTGGTGGTGATGGTGGTGGTGGTAGTGATGGTGGTGATGATGGTGGTGATACGGTGATGGTGGTGGTGATGGTGGTGGTGATGGTGGTGGTGATGATGGTGGTGGTGATGGTGGTGGTGATGATGATGATGGTGGTGGTGGTGGTGGTGATGATGGTGGTGGTGATGGTGGTGGTGGTAGTGATGGTGGTGATGATGGTGGTGGTGATGGTGGTGGTGGTAGTGATGGTGGTGGTGATGGTGGTGATGATGGTGGTGATGATGGTGATGATGGTGGTGATGATGGTGGTGATGATGGTGGTGACGGTGGTGATGGTGATGATGGTGGTGATGGTGATGATGATGGTGATGATGATGGTGGTGATGGTGATGATGATGGTTGATGGTGATGGTGATGATGGTGATGGTGGTGATGGTGGTAATGGTGATGGTGATGATGGTAGTGATGATGATGGTGATAATGGTGATGGTGATGATGGTGATGGTGGTGATGATGGTAGTGATGATGATGGTGATAATGGTGGTGATGATAAGAGCAGGACCAAAACATGGCTGTCAGGAAGGTGGCCAGGAACCCGCTTCTCCAAGCTGGGCCGGCCCAGCCCCAGAGCTGGATCCAGCCTTGGGCAAGAAGGGTAAACACAGCCACAAATGAGAAGGAAGGTCACAGAGCTGCGAGTGATGAGAAAAGAAGCAGGGTAAGGTGAGCAGAGAACAGTTGGGGACAGAGGTGGGGCTGCCGTGGGGACCTGGGCGCCGCCACCCCAGGACGAGGGGCTGCAGGTAAACCTGCTTCCTCTGCTGCAATGGGCCTCTCCGGAGTTCACCCCTGACCCCAGATGTGCGGGTCTCTCCCCAGAAGCCTCCTGACAACAGCTGGTGTCCTGTAACTCAACCCGATTCTGACCCCGTGGACTGGGCGGTGTCAGACCCCGCAGGCTAAGGACTCAGGCCCACGAGATGCCCGCCCAGTTTCAGACGCCAGCCACCAGACCCGGTTTTCACCTGTGCTTCCGACTGACCGGCTGGAGGTTGGGAATTCCGGCGACCCTGTCCTTGGATTTGGAAATGTGCTAGAATGGCTCTTCCTGGGTGGATACACACGAGTAAGGAGGCGGCGTGAAGGTGGAGACAGCGGGTGGGGTCAGAGGTCGGGGTGGTGCTACCAGGAGCCGTGGAAGCCCCCAGAAGCTGAGAGAGGCAGGAAGGACCCTCCCCTAGGAACGTGACCCTGCCGACACCTCGATTTTGGCTCAGCGATGCTGCTGAACCTCTGGCTTCTAGGACTATGGAGAAAATACGTTTTTGTCGCTTGAAGCCACCCAGTTTGTGATCATTTGTTCCAGCAGCCGCAGGAGCAACCGCAAGA